CTGGGGAGACCGAAGCAGGACTGCTGCAAGTTGAGGCCAGACTGGGCCGTTCAGTGATTTCGCAAGACCCTGTCTCAAAAAGAAAAGGTAAGTAAAGTTAAAAAGTAGGAGGGCTGGAGCTACCGTGCAGCGTGGAGGCCCTGGGTCGCAGCCCAGCATCAGGGACAGGGAGCCTTAACACGGCGCTGCTCACCGCGTTGGGCCAGCTATGCCGCTCTCACCTGGTTATAGATGTTGTACTTATTGATATGGTTCTGGTGAAAGATCAGCTTCAGAAATTGCCCGACAGCGTCCACATACACCGACTTGAGTTCCCGAGCTTTGCAGCCTGTCTTTTCATTGTCACAGAGGGACACATACCTACAAGAAAAAGCCCGCTGTGGAAGACGTGGGCTGAAGCGAGAGCTCGCCTGCCTCACGCAGCGCAGCAGTTCTAAGCCCCTGGAGGCTGCGCCCGGGCGGGGGCGGGGAGAGCCCCGGCAAACCCCCCACTGCAGTCAGCCGCTTGCCAAGCCGGCCACCTGCAAAGGGGCCGACCCGGGCCGGCCGGGCTGCCCTGCCACCGAAGCACGTTAACACTGACTGGCCAGGCCTCGGGCAGGGCTCCGGCCCGACCTGCTCAGGCTGCTGAGGCAAGCTTACCCCAGCCTGCGAAAGCGCTCTGCTTGGTACGGCACGAAGTACTCAGGCAAGCTTTCGCTGATGTAGAACTCGATTTTACTTGAGATCATGTACTGGTGCACGAGGAGCTGCAGCTTCCTTACGCGGCACCTCTCCACCATCTGAAGAACAATTTCTTGTGGAAACTGGCAGAATCTGAAAGCAAGGACATCTGTTTTTCTGGGTCTGAGGACTGAATCCCCAGACGCCGGGCTTCTGGAGGGAAGCACAGGACCCAGGGGCTGTGAGAAGCAGGGGTCGCTAGGCCCTCTGTGGTCCAGCGAGGAGCCCACTGCCGACGGCCAGACCACCAACTCATCAGGAGATGAGATGACCCTGAGGGCTGTGGCCGTGGCAGAGCCCAGAATTTTGTACAGGAAGCTGTTTGCTGAGGAAACTACCCGAGTTAGGACTCAGGTCCTAAACATGTGACCTGTGCTGGAGGACTGGTTTCCAGCTCCTGCAGCAGACGTGCAGCCTGGGGGGAAGTGACGTCACAGGGAGTGGCCTTGGGGTTGCTGGGACCCCAGCCGCTTCTTCCTCAGCTTCTGGGTGCCTGCCGTGGGGTGACAGCTTCCTCTGGTGGTCTTCCCTGTGAGACACTGTGCCCCACTGCCCCAGATGACCACAGACCCATCTCTGAAGCACTGATCCAAGATGAACCTTTCCCTCTTGATGGAGACCACATCAGGTAAGTTTCGTCAGAGGAACAGAAAGTGGAATACAGAGCTTGCTCCTCAGATGAGCAGCGCCAGCCTTCAAGGAGCGACTGCCTCGTGTGCTCTGTGCCTGGGAGGACGCTGGGTGGCAGGAATCCCTCGCTGGAACTGCTGTCCTTGCTGACCAGAAGCGCCACAGGGGCCACTGGCTGCCCCAGGAACCCACCCTCCTCTGCCCACGCTGCTGTAGGATCACTGGGGGATGCAGGGCAGTGGGAAGCATGGTGAAACTGTGTGGCCTTGGAGGCGGGCCCTCGGCCCTGTACCCAGTCCAGCGTAGCCTCAGACTCATCCTGAGTATCTGCAGGCATCTGTGCTGTTGTCTGGAGCGACCATTCCAGAGAAGTACGACTGGGGTGTGTTACAAAATCCGGCATGTGCAGCGTGCTGAGCAGGGCATGCAGGTCCGTTCCTTCACTGTGCCAAGGGCCTTGTGGTTGTGCCCTCAAATACTGCACCAGCGTGCGGAAGCACATGCGGGCCATTTCTGTGAACACAACTCAGCGTGGCTCCCCATCCAATCTGTACACCACTACTGAACCCGTGCAGCCAGCGTCAAGGACCTTCCGGGAGGGAAGTGCCTGTGGCCCTGGCCTGGGGAGGAGCCCGAAAGGTGCCCTGGCTGTGCCACTGCCCAGACAGGTGCCAATGTCGGACACCCGAGGGTGCACCAGCTGCAGCACGAGCACCCCTGCCTTAAACCCGCTACCTAGCTCAGGCTGTTCACAGTGACCCTCCTGCCTCAGCCTACAGCGTGCTGGGATTACAGGCGTGCACCACCATGCCTGCCACGGAGGCTCCTAGTTTCAGAAAAGCAATGAAAGTCACACTCAAATAGCAAGTGTTCTTATGAACGTGCGAGTGCTCAAGGAAAATGGGAAAGACTCTCTCCACTGAAGCTCGGAAACACGCCAAAGCCGTAAGATGCAAAATCCCTCACCGAGAGGTACCCAGTCCCGGAGCTGACAGCCTAAGGCACTGTGTGTGCTAGCTGCCAGCCGCGTGCAGGGGCCAGCGCGTGCTCAGGGCTGGGCAGGGTGTAGTCTTCACGTTTTCCTAGGTC